ATCATCTCAAAGAGCTGGAAAAAGAAGAACAGACCAACCCCAAACCAAGTAGAAGAAGTGAAATCATTAAGATCAAACCAGAACTAAATGAAATTGACAACAGGAAAACTATATGGAAGATTAATAAAACAAAAAGTTGTTTCTTTGAAAAAATAAACAAAATTGACACACCTTTGGCTAGACTAATGAAAAGTGGAAAAGAAAAATCTCTAATAAGCTCCATCAGGAACAATAAAGGAGAAATTACAACTGATGCCATGGAAATACAAGATATAATTTATGATACTACAAAAACCTCTATGCACACAAACTGGAACATGTGGAGGAAATGGACAATTTCTTAGAAAAACACAGCCTCCCTAGGCTCAACCAGGAAGAAATAGAATTCTTGAACAGACCAATATCAAGTACTGAAATTGAAACAGCAATAAAAAACCTTCCTAAAAAGAAAAGTCCTGGACCAGATGGTTTCACACCCGAATTTTACCAGACCTACAAAGAACTGGTGCCTATCCTGCAGAAATTATTCCACAACATTGAGAAGGATGGAAACATTCCCAACACATTTTATGAAGCAAAATTAACCCTGATACCAAAACCAGGAAAGGATGCAACAAAGAAAGAAAACTACAGACCAATATCCCTTATGAATATAGATGCAAAAATTCTCAACAAAATCCTAGCCAATCGAATCCAGGGGCTTGTCAAGAAAATAATTCATTACAACCAACTGAGCTTCATCCCAGGGATGCAGGGATGGTTCAACATACTCAAATCTATAAATGTAATTCACCATATAAACAGAAGCTAAAACAAAGATGTAATTCACAAGGTGAATTACAAAAATATAATTAGGTGAATTAAAAAGGTGAATTACAAAAATGTAATTCACCATATAAAGAGAAGCAAAAACAAAGCAAGATCAATAGATGCAGAGAAAGTATTTGACAAAATTCAACACCCTTTTATGATAAGAATGCTCAACAAAATAGGCATAGATGGGGCTTACCTAAAAATGATACAAGCCATATATGACGAACCCACAGCCAACATCATACTAAATGGGGAAAAACTGAAAGCATTCCCACTTAGAACTGGAAAAGACAAGGTTGCCCACTATCTCCACTTCTGTTCAACATAGTGCTGGAAGTCCTTGCTACAGCAATCAGACAGAAGAGCGGAATTAAGGGCGTTCAAATGGGTGCAGAAGAGATCAAACTATCACTATTTGCTGATGACATGATATTATACCTAGAAAACCCTAAGGATTCAACCAAGAGACTCCTTGAATAGATAAATGAATTTGGTAAAGTCTCAGGATACAAAATCAATACACAGAAATCGGAGGCATTCATATATGCCAAGAACAATAAAAGTGAGAACCAAATCAAAGACATCAATTCCCTTCAAAATAGCAACAAAGAAAATAAAGTACCTTGGAATATATTTAACTAAGGAGGTAAAAGACCTCTACAGGGAGAACTATGAAACACTGAAGAAGGAAATAGCAGAGGATGTAACCAAGTGGAAGACCATACCATGCTCGTGGGTCGGCAGAATCAACATTCTTAAAATGTTTATACTACCCAAAGTGACCTACAGATTTAATGGAATCCCTATCAAAATACCATCATAATTTTTCACAGAATACAAAAAATAATTTTACACTTCGTATGGAACCAGAGAAGACCCCATATAGCAAAATCAATCCTAGGCAATAAAAACAAAATAGGAGGTATCAATTTACCAGACTTCAAACTATACTACAAGGCTATAGTCATTAAAACAGCTTGTGACTGGCACAAGAACAGGGACATTGACCAGTGGAACACAACAGAGAACCCAGATATAAAACCATCCTCATATAGCTAACTAATATTCAACAAAGCAGACAAAAACATACACTGGGGAAAAGAATCCTTATTCAATAAATGGTGCTGGGAAAACTAGATAGTCACATGTAGAAGACTGAAACAAGACCCACACCTTTCACCTCTCACAAAAATCAAATCACACTGGGTAACAGACTTGAACCTTAGGTGTGAAACTATTAGAATTCTAAAGGAAAATGTTGGAAATACTCTTCTAGACATTGGCCTAGGCAAAAAAATTATGAAGAAGACCCCAAAGGCAATCACAACAGCAACAAAAATAAACAAATGGGGCCTGATCAAATTAAAAAGCTTCTGCACAGCCAAAGAAACTGTCAAAAGAGCAGACAACCCACAGAATGGGAGAAAATTTTTGCAAGCTACACATCTGATAAAGGGCTGATATCTAAATCTATTTAGAACTCAGGAAAATCAGCAAAGAAAAAATCAAACAACTCTACCAAAAAGTGGGCAAAGGATATGAACAGAAACTTCTCAAAAGAAGACAGAATAATGGCCAACAAACATATGAAAAAATGCTCAAAATCTCTAATCATCAGGAAAATGCAAATCAAAACCACAACGAGATATCACTTAACTCCAGTGAGAATGGCCTTTATCAAAAAGTCCCCAAACAATAAATGCTGACGTGGATGTGGAGAGAGAGGAACACTCCTACACTGCTGGTGGGGCAGCAAACTAGGTCAACCTCTGTGGAAAGCAATATGGAGATACCTCAAAGCGATACAAGTAGATCTACCATTTGATCCAGCAATCCCACTACTGGGCATCTGCCCAAAAGATCAAAAGTCACTTTATGAAAAAGACACCTGCACTCGAATGTTTATAGAAGCACAATTCACAATTGTAAAGCTGTGGAAACAACCCAAGTGCCCATCAATTCATGAGTGGATTAATAAAATGTGGTATATGTATGCCATGGAGTACTACTCAGCTTTAAGAAACAATGGTGACATAGCACCTCATGTATATTCCTGGATAGAGCTGGAACCCATTCTACTAAGTGAAGTATCTCAAGAATGGAAAAACAAGCACCACGTGTACTCACCAGCAAATTGGTATTAATGGATCAACATCTAACTGGACATATAGGAGTAACATTTATTGGGTGTCGGGATGGTGGGAAGAGGGAGGAGGGGATGGGTATATACAACCTCAATGAGTAAGATGTGCAACGTTTGGGGATGGACACGCTTGAAGCTTCTGACTCGAGGGGGAGGGGGTCATGGCAATATATGTAACCTTCACACTTGTATCCCCATAATATGTAAAATAAAAAATATGTAGCCGGGGCGCGGTGGCTCACGCCTGTAATCCTAGCTCTCTGGGAGGCTGAGGCGGGCGGATTGCTCAAGGTCAGGTGTTTGAACCAGCCTGAGCAAGAGCGAGACCCGTCTTACTATAATAGAAAGAATTAATTGGCCAAACTAATATATATAGAAAAATTAGCCGGGCATGGTGGCGCATGCCTGTAGTCCCAGCTACTCGGGAGCTGAGGCAGGAGGATCGCTTGAGCCCAGGAGTTTGAGGTTGCTGTGAGCTAGGCAGACGCCATGGCACTCACTCTAGCCTGGGCACAAATAGACTGCTGTCCACAAAAAAAAATATGTAAAAAATAAAACAATTACTTATTGATTTGCATTGGAATATTATAGGGTTTAACAAGTATAGTGCCAGAGAGAGAAGTCTAACAATAGATCCACTACTATAAGGATACTTGACATGTGACAAAGGTATAATTTCAGATCAGTGGGGAAAGAATCAATCAATCTGTCCATTCTAAAGTAAAAATGGCTCTTTCTAGACATGATCCGAAAACCATGTACCCAATCTTTATAGAAGTAAAGATTGAGTAATTTGATCATGTTTAAATTAAAAAATTCCGTACTGAAAATTAGAGCATTACATTTACGATATTCATAAAACAAAGAAATAATGTTATTAATAAGTTAAGGGCACTTCCAAAAGACAAACATCTTAGAAATACTTATATATTTATATAAAATTTTTTTTCAGCATATATATATATATGTATGTATATTTAACCTTACTAGTGATTAACTTCAAATTAAAGGAGCACTGAGTTTAAAAATTTGGTCTATCATATTGGCACATATATAAGTAATTAATAGTATGGAACTGTGAATTTTTTCAACCTTTTCTGAGTGGCAATTTGGCAATATGTTTTCATGTGTCTTGGAAAAGGTATACCGTTTGACCCAGGAACCTCACTCATAGGGACTTACCTTCAGCAATTAGAAGAATGTGCACAGATCAATGTACAAAGATACTTATTGCTGCATTCCATACAGCCTACATTATTTAAACGAATACAGGTTTACTGATAGGGGATTTTTAAAATCCATTTTGTAACATCCATTCAAAGTAAATGATTCATAGAAAAAGATGAGGAAGATCTACATTTAGTACCATGAAAAGATGTCTACTTATATTATTCAGTGAAAAAAATAGATCACAGAGCTTTAGGTATAGCATAAATCTGGTTTTTTAAACATTATTATGAATGAAAACATTTTAAGAATTATATACTAAATATCCATAATAAACAAAAATGGTCTCTAAATAGTAAATTTATGAGCTATTTTTATTTTATTCTTTTTGTACTTTCTAATATTTTAATAAACATGCATTTTTATTGCATTACAGAAAAAAAGCTGTTTAAAGCTCTAGATTGAATAAGTGAAGTGTCTTCCTCCTAAACAGCAATGCAGAGGGAGAGGGCTGGGTTCAGGTTTCAGACAGTGGTATTAATAGCAAAGATCTCCATTCACCCAAGGAGACTTTCCCATATATACCAAACCTCTTTCTCTATCTTTATTACATATATTTTTGTTGTTGTTGTTGATCCAATATGAAAATATGCTACTTCATCTCTACTTTTTTTTTTTAAGCAGTGACTATTCCATCAAAATTGGGTTTTAAAATCTATTTTCTTTTCTTATCTTTTTGTTGTTGTTGTTGTTTATTTCTTGAAATTGGCATCCAGGAATTTCCTTAACCTGTATCAGCTGCTCTGGAGCAAGCTATAAATTTATAAAAGAAACAAAAACTTCTTAATTTGTATTTTCAGTTAATTTAAATAGTTTTTTCTTTTTTCTTTTTTTTCACATCACACTGATACTCCTTTGCTTTTTTAACTCTTCATTTTCCATTGCCCCTGTCCACATTATAGATACCCTTTCTCCTTGAAATCATGTATTACTCCTGGGAGGAAACAGTTACAGATGTATTTTGCCTAGGTTCAAATCCCAGCTCTGACCTTCGTTAGCTATGTGACCTTGGGCAAGCGACTCAACCTCTCTGAGCTTCAGTTTTCTAATCTATCATTTGTAAATCTGTGTCTCTTTCATGAGATTATGAGAATTAAATGAGCTAATAGACACCAGTCACTTAGAACAGTGCCTGGCACATGGTAATCATGACATAAGTGATGTCTGTTTCGCTTTTTATGTACTTTCCTTCCTCAGCCAATCTGTCACCCCATTTCATCACACCCACACTCCACTTGCACTAATTACAATACCTCTCAGAAGCAGTAAGCAGAGCCCTGACATTTGTTAAGACCAGAGGGGGTAGTGTCACTTGGGGGGCCTCATCCCCATAAGCACCCTCTGGAGGGCGCCCTGCACATCAGGGTTCCGGAGGCTGTAGATGAGTGGGTTGAGCATGGGGCTGATGACAGTGTTGAGGATGCCAATCCCCTTGTCCTTATCTGAAGACTCCACTGAACCCAGCCTCATGTAGCTGAAGACGCCCGTCCCATAGAAGATGCCCACCACGGTGAGGTGGGAGCCACATGTGGAGAAGGCTTTCTTCCTGCCCTCTGCAGAGCGGATTCGCAGGACCGCAGCTGCCACATGGGCATAGGACACAGTGATGAGGACCAAGGGGGCCACACCCATGAAGGCTGCTGCTACAAAGAGCAACTGCTCATTGAGTTGGGTGCTGGAGCAGGAGAGCTGGAAGAGCTGTGGGAGGTCACAGTAGAAGTGATTGATCACATTGGGGCCACAGAATTGAAGAGTAGACAAGGCAACAGTTTGGGTCAGTGCATTGGTGAAGGAAAAGGCACATGACATGGCCACCAGGGCTTGCTGCATTCCCCAGCCCATGCGGGTGCTGTAGGTGAGGGGCTGGCAGATGGCTAAGTAGCGGTCGTAGGCCATGACAGTCAGCAAGAAGCAGTCTGCCCCGGCCAGGAGGTGGAAGAAGAAGAGCTGGGACAGGCAGGCCCTATAGGGAATGCTTCTGTCCTGGGATATAAAATGCCTCAACATGGCAGGGACAGTGACGCTGATGCACCCAACATCCAGCAGGGACAGGTTTCCCAAGAAGAAGTACATGGGGGTGTGGAGTTTGGGTTCAATAAGGATGGCAGCCAGGATGCTGAAATTGCCACCAATGGTAGCTACATAAGCAAGAAGGAAGACGACAAAGAGGATGGGCTGTAGAGCTGGAGCATCCGTTATGCCCAGCAGAACAAACTCAGTCACGACCGAGTCATTCCTCGAGGCTCCCAGATCCATGGCTGTCTTCCCCCAGCAGCAGAACGGGCAATGTCAGACAGGGCCGATGGCGGTGAAAGGAGGATGAGATTGTGATGGCAATCATCAATGATGTCTTGATAGCAATGTCCAGGAAAGGCCTGGGATGAAAGGACACATAAAATTTAAGGAGAAGAAAGTTGAAGATTTAGACACAGTAGGAAATGCCTTGATAAATCTGACTCCTAATGGGTAAGAACAGCAGCATTGGGCAGACTCAAACAGAGGCAGATGAATTGTCAAAAAGGGGGGGGGGAAGGGAAGGGGAAGAGCAAATGTTAACATTTGAAGGTTAAAGGGAAAGATTATTTTCCTGAGGCCAAGGTTCCAGGAAGAAAACCCCAAGTCTGCAGAGGTGTAGTGGCCATAGCTTAGGGACACAAGATCCCAGAGGATGAAAGGAAAACTTCAGGGGAAGGGGAGAGGCAGCTCCCCTCACCTGTGTCCCGGTAGCCTCCACATACGCGTGTTGTCAAATGTGATAGCCGTGGTGAGATGCCTGCCGTGGCCCAGACTATGAGAACATTAACTCATGAAGTCATGAGACTCAGTCTGGACATGTCACAAAAAAGTAAATGAAATGAAAACCAATGACACTAAATGAGGAGACATCACTGAGGACATTTCCAGCTCCATCTCTGGTGACCACCACCTTTTTGGACTTTCTAAATAATAAGATTATATTGCATTTCTCCATACAGAGTCTGGGAAATTTGGGCTCTAAAGAACCAGGCTTTTACTGAATAAGAAGAATGTAAAAAGAGCTTTTGAACAGGGTGAGAGTTTCCAGGCTTATGTTCCCAGGTAGGGTCAGTGGACCCCCCTAGAGCTGCCTCACTGGGTGCCCAGCTGAACTCTCTCACACAGGTAGAGTCTTGGGTAAGCACGTATCCAGACCCTAAATTCCCCTCTGCCTGCAAATCCACCATCAATGAACTATCTACTCTTCCGTGTCCTGGCTCTAATTACACATCATCTAACACACACACAGTGTCATGGACCTGATGACTGGATAAGGCCAACATCTGTTACAGGTGCCAGGAACCACACTCACTTAGATAATGCTTTCCTCTCCCTAGCTCCGAAGTGGTCACACTAATAAAATACACGGTGATCCACCTCCACCTCTGGCTAAGGGATAGATATTACACCACATGGAGCCTAACGCATACAGGAAAAGACTAGGGATCTTCAAGGGGCACAAGACATGAGTGCAGGAAGACATGTCTGATGACTAATATGACTAAGGTCCACAACAGGTCAACCACCATCCAATGGTGTGGCCGTTTCTGCATCGACATGTTCTTTCCATAACCTCAAACTCGGTCTCCAAATCTGAACTGCCCTTCTTCAATCTCAATATGCTCTTGATTTCACTATTTTAGCAACAGCCTTGCCACCTTCCCCATTGTATGGCTCAACACCTTAGTCACCACTGATGCCTCCCGCTCTCCAACCCCTCACATCCAAGCACCCAAGTCCCACTGGACCTTTTTTGGGAAAGAAGAAGCCATTCCAGGGCCCAGGGGGTGAACTTCACTTACATGGTAAGCTAGTTGTGAGAGTGCAGGGAGGGCTGTTGGAATGGTACTCACCTGGCTAAAGGGACAGGCACTTCTTGGGCAAAGAGGAGGGACAGTCACACTGCCCCAGTGGCCCCCACACAGGGGATAGCTTATAAAGGACAGATAGACAAAGAGACAAACAACTCAGCTGACATCATTTTCACCTTGGGACTTTTCTTCTCCCCATTGTTACCCCTGGAGGCCCCAGAAATTAGCACCTTCCAGGGGGATTCAGAGCCAGGTAAACACCTGCCTTTGTCAAAGACATGCTGATCTCTAGTTCCTTTAAAATGTTTTGGACTTTCTTAAAATGTTTCCAAGTATGACCTTAATGATATGGGGTTTCCCAGAGGATGGGAACCATTTGGATGTGAAAAAATTCATTCATTTATTTAGCAAAAATATTTCTGAGAACATATTATGAACCAGCACTCTTCTTATCAGCATTTTATAGAGTTAAAATGAATCTCAGAGAAGCTTAAAGTCTAGAAAGTCACATAATGTTGGAGATGGAGTTGAGATTTTGGCTTTCTGGTTTAGTCCAGCCTGTCACCTTGGGAGGGGAAGGGAGCTGAGAGGAGCAGAGGCTTGTGACTTTCTAGCCTCTACCTGCAGCATGGGGGTTAGGGGCTGGAGCCCGGGGCAGGATTTGCTCTTCTTTCAACCCTGGATCAGTGTCTCCTCTGTCATCTTGCAAGTTCACCTCCCATCACAGCTCCCTTTAACCATCCTCAAACTTGGCTTCTCTTCCAGTCTCAATCAAATGCTTTGCCTTTTTCTCTGCTCCCACAATGCAATCCAGACCCTGCAGTGTCCTGACCCTAATTGTTTTCCAGCCTCATGCTTCCAACACCATAAAGGATGAGAGAGGGTTAGAGCAACTTCTAGACCAGGACCTCCTTGCCTTTACCTGGCTTTAGGAATCAAATACACTTTTTAATAATGTCTTGTTCATTAATGAAGTTTTCCCACTGGCTCTCGTTAGCAGGTATGGGGGAAGCCCCTTGCAGGATCAATAGAGTAAACTCATAGTGGCTTAAAGCTGTCATGGGCCAAGGAGGAGTTGGCAGAGAATTAGGATGAGTTGATATTTCTGTTGACAGCTGTCCTTAGAAGAGGACCTCTAGGTTACAGAGCCTAAATAGAGCCCATCATGTGTGCCTTCTCCTCCTACATGACCAAGGCTGTGTTCTCTTCCTGGAAAGTCTCCTTTTTCACACACTGTTAGTACAGGAAACTCCATCCTCGAAGACCCATTGCAACTCTTCTCTCTTCTAGGAACTGTCCATGAGTCCTGGGGCTGGGCTAGGTGCCCTTCCTCTATACTCCCATAGCAATGTGAAGAAGCTGCATGCTGACGACCTGCAATTTTGTCTCCATTCTTGACACTACCCTGTTGACCCTGATACCTAACTGTGTGTTGGGTATTTCTACCTGAACATCCCACAGGAACCTCAAGGTGTACAAAACAATGCATCGTGTTTCCTTTTTGTACAAAATATGTACACACATGCACACACACACACACACACACACGTGGTAGAACCACATGCCTTACTGTGGAAAAACTTGCAAGCATAGGAGTAGCAGAGCACAGTGATCCCTGCACTCTCCCTGTCCAACACAGAGACAGCTGAGCTTGTGCATCACTAGACTTGGACACACTCTGGCAAGCTCTTCAGTAGAAAGGGACTCCACCCTGCACAAACACTCTACGTCTTTACAGGAATTGGAAGTGGGAATGGAAACATCTAGACACCTGCCTAACAACTGGTGCTTCCTGGATGAGGAAGTTACATTGTCACAATGAGGAATCCTCCAAGGAGCTCAGCCACTGTTACCAGCTTGTTCTTCTATGGAGCTACTGAACTAACTGTTTTGCTGAGCTACTGAAAGGGGGTAGGAAATGAGTACCCAGAGCTCCTCACCCTGCTAACCAGATGCTCCTCCTCACCTTGCTTAATGGAAATGGGAATATGCTGTTCATTTATTTAGCAACTATTATCCAAGCAAAGTACTCTTTGCTGGGTAATGTGCTAGTCAGGAGGTGACCAAAGACAACGAGTCCCTCCCCACCTGGGGCCTCATGAAGAAGGCCTTAGCCAAATAGTTATCAATCACTGTGTCTATGCATGTGAACGTACACACACCTATCAACATACAATCATACGGAAGTGGGTTTTCTCAGGGGTGGATGAAGGGCCTACCTATGGCAATAATTCTGGGCTTTCGTCATAATTGGTCTATTTAGATTTTTATATTTTCATAGCTTTTGGAAGTGTATTTTCTTAGAAAGCTATTTACTCTGGTCATGATAAAGTAACAGGTACAAGATTTACCTTCCCACTTTGAACAGCTAGAAAACTAAACAAAATATATGAAACAATGGTTAATGTGCAGTGCAGGACAATAATTCCTCATCTCTGTAATAGTATGAGCCATAAAAATGTCTCAACTTATTGCGAGAGAGAGTGGTGAGGCCACGTCACAGGACAAAGAGAACCCAAACAGAGCCCCGTGGTCTTCCGAGTTGAGGAGACGGTTTAGAGTTAGGGGTGGCCATGGCAGCAAGAATTGGCGGAAATAACAAAGGAGACGTGGGAGCTTCACAGAAAGGAAACTCCAGAGTCCTGCAGATGGGTCCTCTCTGGTCTTCGGCTGTGCTGGAATCTGCTCACCCATATGTGGAAACTGATAAGGTTAGGAGAAGGAACACCATAAGTGGATAAGAAGGAAAAATCTCACAGGCTCACATAAAGGCAAGAATAATTCATGTGCCCACCAGCCACCACAGGGGTTTGTGTAGAGTGCTACAAAGAGTATAGCTTCCATAATGGCATCAAATTAACCACAGAATAATGTCTGTTCTGGACACTAACAAAACATAAAAGCGAGTCTTGAAAGGACCAAACTTCTGCCCTAGAACTGTATTTGGAAAACCTGAACAATGCTTACAGGAATGTAACACAATCTACCATTCAAAAATGTAAAGATTACAATGTTTGTATCCAATCAAAATGATCAGCAAACAAAGAAGCAGGGAGAAAATAAATAAATAGATCCAGACCAAAAATTATCGAGATTATAGAGTTAGTATAAAAAAATGTTAAGCAGCCATTATAAATATACTCCATATGTTCAATAATGCTGAGGAAAAGCTGACTATAATGAGAAATTGGTGATCCATAACAGACTCAATTGCACTTCTAGAGAGGAAAAATACAATATCTGAAAAGAAAAATATACTACATGGTATTAACAACAGATTACATACACTGCATAAGAGAAGTTTAGTGAATTTGAAAACATGGCATAGAACCTTCCCCAAAATAAAACACATACACACACACACACACACACACACACACACACACACACAAAGATTAATAACTATCCCTTAAGACATGATGAAAAAGAAACCAAAAAGACGATTCAGAAACAAGATGTTGCAGTAAGGTGTACAGCTAGTGTTACAACTCTTGACCAGGGAAAGAACTGAGCGGCACACGAAGAGTTGGAGAATAGTCTTTATTCCTCTGGCAGGCTCAGCCTACTTCTGACTTCTCTCTTCTCAACTTCTGATTTCTGACCCCTCCCTTCCTTGTTCTCCTCTTGCTTTTATGCCCTTGGTAGGACTCCAAAAAGCGTCCAATGAGCAACAAGCTTTAACATCCCATGAGCAACAAGCTTTAACATCCAATGAGCAACAAGCTTTAACATCAATGAGCAACAGTGGGATTCAAAAAGTACCCAATTAGGATCGCGCAGCCAGCTTGGTTGGAGCGCAGACCCAGACAGCAGGCAGTGGCACATGGGCCCCGGCCCTAGCAGCGAGCCCTCCAACCAGCCCCAAGCAGTGCCAGCCAGCAGGAATGTGGAGCGAGGGGGAGGTGGCAAGCAGCCACGTCCCAGTGCCTGTCAGTTTTCCCTGTCAAAGAGACTACTGAAATGTAATCAAGCAGATATAAAAATACTGAAAATAACTTTTAGAGATAAAAATATGATGTTTTAATTTAAAATCAATGTATGAGTTAAACATCAGACTAAAAATAATTGACAAAACAATGAGTGGACTAAAAGATAGGTCTGATATAATTGCACAGAATGTTACACAGAGACACAAAGGAATGTAAACCTATAAAAGAGTTGTTAACAGGCATGAATGATAGCATAAGAAGATAGCATATATCAGATATCTCAGAGCTCCAGAAGAGGATCATAAAAAAAAGGAACAAAAACAATATTCTGAGAGTTAATGCATGGGAATTTTGAAGAATTAAACAAAGAATCTTCAGAATCAGTAAGCACCACTAATCTCCAGCAAATAAAATAAAAAGAAATACACACCTTAAAAATCATAGTGAAACACATCACCCTAAAGTGAGAGTGATATCTGAAAAACAGTTGGAGAGAAAGAGCAGATTATTCATGAAAGAGTGACAGTTCTGTTTACAATTTAATTCCCAAGAGCAGTATAAGAGCCAGCAAACAAAGGAATAACAATTTCAAATCGCTCAATATTTTTAAGGAACTTATTAGTATGATTTTTAAATTTATATGGATTGGTAATTATGGGAGAATGGCCTAAACAGTTTGATAAGTAAGTAAAAGGAAGGAGAAATTGAACATTGGATATAAAAATATATTACAAAGCTATAGGAATTAAAACAGCAGCATTTTCATAACTAAGGATATGGGGCAATGGGAACTTTCACACATTTCTTGTGAGCATGAACAATAGTGCAGCCACTTTCAAAAACAGTTTGACAGTTTCTTATAAATTTAAACATACAGATACTATATGGCTCAGCAATCCCATATCTTGGTATTTAGTTAAGATAAATAAAAACATATGTCTACACAATGATTTCCTTGTGAATATTTATAGAAACTTTATTCATAACCACCACAAACTAGAAATAATCCTAATATCCACCAATTAGGTAATAAAAAACATATAGTATGTCAATATAATAGAATCCTACTCAGTGATGAAAAGGAACTAACTACTACGCACAGCATTACATGGCTGAATCTCGAAACCATGTTGCTAAGTAAAAGAAGGTAGACACAAAAGGCCATATAACTATCTTTATATGATATTCTTAAAGAGGCAAAACAAACAAATGGTGGTGAAGGACAAACAGGTTTCTGGTTTCCAGAAAACAGGGATGGGAGAATGGCACTGACTACAAAGGGGCATAAAAGACCTTTTGGAATGCTGGAAATACTCTATATCTTGATAGGCATTGTGGTTATACAACTGTATACATTGGTCAAAACTTAGAGAACTATGCACCTGCAAAGGGTGAATTTTACTGTTTGTAAATTATACCTCACTTTAAGAAAAGAATAATAAAGCAATAAGGCAAATATCCTACCTACTACCCAGTTTATGCCATTGAACATTCCATTGCTTCTGAAGACTCCTGCATATCCCTCCTTATTCCTATTGCTTTATCTCCCTTCTTAGGCAATACTATTCTCAGGGGGAAAAACACCCTTAAAATACTTTCATTGCATCTATATTTTTTTATAAACAATACCATAAGTTTTGTTTATGTTTGAGCTATATATTTTTAGAAACACACAGCCTTCCCAGGCTCAACCAAGAAGAAATAAAAGTCCTGAACAGACCAATATGAAGTACTAAAATTGAAACATCAATAGAAAAAAACCTTCCTAAAAAGAAAATCCCAGAGCAGATGGTTTCACACCCAAATTTTAGCAGACCTACAAAGAGGAACTGGTGCCTATTCTGCAGAAATTATTCCACAAAATTGAGAAGGATAGAAACCTCCCCAACATATTTTATGAAGCCAACATAACCCTGATACTAAAAACAGGAAAGAATGCAACCCAAAAAGAAAACTACAAACCAATATCCCTTCTGAATATAGATGTAAAAATTCTCAACAAAAGCCAAGCAAACCAAATTCAGATGCTAATGAAAAAAAATAATCCATCACGACGAAGTGGGCTTCATTCCAGAGATGCAGGGATTGTTCAACATATGCATATCTATAAAAGTAATTCACCACATAAAACAGAAGCAAAAACAAAGACCATATGATCCTCTCAATAGATGCAGAAAAAGCATTTGACAAAATTCAACACCCTTTTATGATAAGAACACTTAACAAAATGGGCATAGACGGGGCTTACCTAAAAATGATTCAAGCCATATATGAGAAACCCACAGCAAACATCATACTGAATGGGGAAAAACTGAAAGTATTCCCACTAGGACTGGAACCCAGCAAGGTTGCCCACAATCTCCACTTCTATTCAACATAGTGCTGGAGGTCCTTGCTAGAGCAATTAGACAAGATAGGAGAATTAAAGGGCATCCAATGGGGGAAGAAGAGATGAAACTCTCACTCTTTGCTGATGATATGATATTATATCTAGAAAACCTCAAGGTTTTAACCAAGAGATTCCTGGAATTGATAAATGAATTCAGTGAAGTCTCAGGATACAAAGTCAATACACACAAATCAGAGGCATTAGTATACACCAATAACAGTCAAACTGAGAACCAAATCAAAGACTCAATACCCTTCACAAAAGCAACAAAGAAAATAAAGTACCTAGGAATATACTTAACTAAGGATGTAAAAGACCTCTACAGGGAAAACTATGAAACACTGAACAATAAAATAGCAGAGGACGTAAACAGGTGGAAAACCATACCATGGTCGTGGGTTGGTGGAATCAACATTGTTAAAATGTCTATACTATCCAAAGTGATCTACAGATTCAATGCACTTTCTATTAAAATACCAACATCATTTTTCACAGATACAGAAAAAATAATTTTACACTTTGTATGGAACTAGAGAAGACGCCCTATAGCAAAAGCAATCCTACGCAAAAAGAACAAAATGGGAGGTA